GCGCCACCCTCCTGTTCGCGGGCCCCGAGGGCACAGGCGTGGGGGCTCGCGGGACTCTGCAGACGCAGGGTACGCTGCCCTCGCCGCTCTTGTCCCTTCCCGACCTGGTACTCCCAGGACCTGTCCGCGACCACGAAGGCTCGTCGGCGCGGGACTGGACCCGCTTCTCTGTGGTGAAGCTCGGCCGCAGCACCCCCTCCCCATGCCAGGAGCTCCCATTAAACCCAAACTTAGGGGACACCACCACCCACCGGCAAGCCCGCGGAAGGCGGGGCCCACACCGGGCCAGGGTGCAGCTGGAGGGGCTGGACACTGGCCGTTGGTGGCCACAACCCCCTCACAATTCCCCAAGACAGAGGGTCTGAGGGCGCATCTGTCCTGCCAATGCCCTGTCCTACCTGAAGTACAGCAACACCCGTAAGACAAGTTGAAAAGCAGTGGAGCTCCCCAGAGAAGGGGGTTCAGGGAGCAACGTACCTACACCTATGAGGCACTGAGAGCGACCCTGAACTTGGGCTTTGTAGGTCTTTTTTGGCTGGAGTCGGTGAGAGGCACCAGGCCCAGCAGCCCCGGCTGGGCCAGTCTTGGGTGGCACGAGGCCATCCTGGAAGCTGGCAAAGGGCTGCCCCGGCTTAAAGAGAGCGCAGCCTGGTCAGTGTGTGTGTGGCCGAAGCGCTCTCCCCGTTACGAGAACTGCCAAGTGGTCACCTCGAAATGGATGCGGAAGCGCAGGTTCGACTTCAGCGGAAGAGCCAGTGGGCATGAGATGACAATAAACTTTACTCCCAAGGTAGGTACTGCATAAGAACACATTCAGGAAGTTGCCTCCCTACCGACCCGTGCCTACTGCCCAGGCCTTGAGTGCCACAGACATGTGGGTGACACAGGACCTCCAGCCACGCCTGCACTTTCATAATCAGCAGCCAAGAGTGAGGACACTTCAGGCCTCAGGGTCCAGGCAGATCACAAAGCTCCAGCACAACCACAGGGCAAGGGGTGACCCTGGCCTGCTCCCAGCTGCTCAGTGTGAAGACGGCTCAGCCTGGCCCCAGGGGTGAGGGCAGGGACCCCCTCTGCTCCGTCCTGGACCCCTCTGCACAGCCAGTGCCCAGGCCAAGCTCCCCTCGGGCAGGAGGGCTGGGATGGGTGGGAAATGGAAAGGGCAGCAGCCATGTCTGGGAACTTCCTTTTCTTGTACTCCCAAGGCTTTTCTGTTCCAGCAAGTGATGAGTACATCACTAGTCTCTGCTGAAAAGGGCCCTGGGTGCCAACCGTGCCCACAGGCTATCTGCCCAGCCCCTCCCCACCATCCTGCCTTCCCAGGACTGCTTCAAAGCCAGGGCCCTTTGGGGCCAAGTGGTGTGGGCAGCTGATGCTGACTGGCCCAGGTCCAGGAGGGCTACCTAGTGTCTGGCGAGAGGGCCAGTCCAGGCGGACTCGGGAAGAGCTGCCCCTGCCTCAGGCCTGGGAAGCCCAGACCCAGCACGGCTGGTGCAGGCAGGAGCGGGGGCGACACCTGCAGAGGTAGAAGCAAGGCTGCCTGAGCAACAGACCTGCTGAGGAAAACGGACTCCCAGGGTGGCAGGCGGCTTCTCTCGACTCCGAGGAACAGGGAGGGTACGAGCGGGAATGTGCTTTCAGCTTTAATGTCTGTTAAGTAAATGTGGGAGCCAGGGCCCTTGCCCAGAGCCGGCCCCTCAGATCCAGTTGCAGCCCCACCCCGGCTCTGTGCCAGGACACAGGGCTGAGAGGTGTGGGTGGGCAGCAGGCAGAGAAGCAACATTCAGCTCCCTGCTGGCACTGTTGGTGCTCCCAGGCTAAGTCCCCCGATGCTGCCGCCTGGAGAAAGCCAGGACCTTGCACCACGCTGAGGGCTGCTGTCCCGCTCAGCAAACCGCAGCCCTGACTGGAGGCCTGACCAGGTGGCACCACACGGCACCTCGAGGAGGGAGGTGGAGGTCACTGCCTGCCGGAGACCTCCGCTGTCTTCCTCCTGCAGAGCTAGCTGTCAGCCTTCGCATGGTGGAAGAGGTTGCAGAAGAACTCATACCAGAAGAACACCAGGCCCGTGGAGAGGGCCGCCTTCAGCAGGCTGGGGGACAGGCCCTTGAAGAAGCCCAGGGCGCCCTCCTCCTGCAGCACCTGCCTGGCACAGTCCAGGAGGCCCCGGTAGCTGCGAACCTGGGGAGAGGGGTGGTTCAGACATGGCTGTCGCTCCACCCTAGTCAACACCGGGCCTGGCGCCCGCAGCACCCACGAGCTCCCTGTGGGGTGAAGGGATGGGTGTGCAGAGAAGTCAGTCTCTGCCAAGCACGCCCCATCACTGGGATGAAATACCCAGGAATCAGCCCTAGACAGAGCTCCTGGCAGGGCACTGGTAGTGGCCACTGACCCCACCCTACCTGAACACCCGTGGGCTTCTGGCCCTCGAGTCAGCCTTTAGCCTAACCTGGCTAAGGCTCCTCCTCGTGCTCCATTACCATGCCCACCCGCCGCCAGGCAGTGCCAAGACACGGCTCTGCCATCCCGTGGCTCCTGAAGGTGATAATGATGTTCACGCCAGCGATGACACTATCAAGCCCAAACTCTGCAGCTGGCCTTCAAGGCTCCTACCACTAGGCCTCAGCCTCCCTTCCTGGCCTGCCTACCCCCATGCTTCCCTCCTCCATCTCCAGCCACACCCACTCACACTCAGCTCCTTAGCAGCGGGGGCGGGGGGGGGCTGTCCCACTCTCACTGTCTCTCCAAATCCAGATCGCCCTGTCAGCACAAGCAAGACAGTAGAGAAAGGAGGATCTGCCCCTTATATACGACCCCAGTTTGGTTCAAATGTACACGCGCACTTAGCACAGGAATCAAACACATTCATGGTCCCTCTGGTGGTGCAACAGGTAAGCGCAGCACGATGAAGCTGTCCACAGCCCTTCCATTCCCAGCCAGGGAGTGACCCACACGCCGCAGCAGGCCCCTCCTGTCTCCCCGCTGCTCCCCTCAGCAATGGATTTCCATAGGATCCCCCTGCTCTGCTCCCCACTCTGTCTCTGGTGAATCCTCTCACCCCTGTACCTCTGGCCCACATCCCAGTTCCTGTATGCATAAATAAATTAAAATAAATCTTAAAAATAAAAAAGATGTACGACAACCATAAACCCAATTCTTGCTCGTCCCCCACCAGGGCGCCCCCTTTCCGGCAGGTAAGGCCATGTTTCCTCGTGCCTGCATGGGATCCGGTTCTGGAGGGGCAAGCCCTAGACTCACCCATCCCTGCCTCCTCCCTTCCCCTAGGCTCCCTGCCAGGCCTATGAGGGCAAAGGTCAGGGGCTCACCACTCTGCAGGGGCTCACCTGGCCAAAGGTGGCTCGGGCCTGCTCGAAGCCTCCCACCTGCAGCCGTTTCTTGATGAGATCCAGGGGGTATGTGAGGGTCTTGCTGATGACTCCGGCTCCGCTGCCACAAAGCAGGTTTTTGAGGTACCCTGAACCCAAGATGTGTGATGAGGAGGAAAGAAGGGAACTGAAGTCGCGGGTACATGGGGTACATGGCTTCCGGGTCGCAGGGTCTCATCCCCCAGAACAAAGCCCCACAGCACCCTCCCTCAGAGGATCTATCCAGGAGGGAGGGCCAGGCCGGCCATCCGGGCTGCAGATTGGACAGGCTGGGGTGGGTGAGCCACCTGGAGGCCTCCCCTGTGGGAGGGAGGCAGCACCGGGGCTCAGGTTCAGGGCTTGAGTGGGAACAGGGATTCCTCCTTCCTCCCCCAACCAAGCCCAACCCCAACAGGCAGCTTACAGACTGCGCCTGACACAGGGCTAGCTGGCCCGCCGCTGGGAGAAGGTGATGCCACGGCTGGAGCCCGTGTGCTGGCCGCACCATCGGGTACAGCTCTAACCCGAGAGGCCGGGGGGGCGGGGAGCAGCTCACCGTTGGTCTGGCCTTGGCCCTCGGCCGGCAGGACCCACTCGTAGGCCTGCTTCAGGGAGCTGTAGAAGGAGAACTGGAAGCCGGCATAGGGAAAGATGGCCATCAAGGTAGGCGCCAGGCCTCTGTAGAAGACGGTGGGGCCTTCGGTCCTGCACATGGTGACCACGGCGACCCGCAGGGAGGGGTAGACCTGCACCCGCAACCGGCCAGTGAGTGGGAGGCGGGGCCCAGCCGCACCTCCTCCGCCTCCCCAGTATTGCTCCCGCCCAGAGGCTGCTCAGGAACAGGTGACAGAGCCCAGAGGGGCATTTCCAACAACTGGCTTTCCAGGAGTCCCTGCGCGTGTCCCCACGGTCAGCGTCCTGGTGGCGGGTGGTCACAGCCACCCCTGGAAGGACACGAGGGGGTTAGACAGGGCGAGGCCGGAGGGCAGCGTCTGTGGAAGGAGGCCACCCTCCTCCCCAAGGCCCCACCAGGGGCAGCAGCGGTCACAGCTCCCGGCCGGCACACAGCTGAGGCGCAGAGGGGCAGGAGGCTTGCTGCCACCAGCGTCCTGTGCTGCCTGGTTTTCTGCCACAGGCACAGCCTTCAGCTTTCTCGTACCGGGGCCTGGTCGGCAGCCGCTGGTTCTCCGAGTACCTTCCACGGGCAGGTTCTCCACATGCTCACAAGGGCTGACCCTGCTGCGGGGTGCGGAGGGGGCGGCTCAGGGCTCCCGTGGCTGGGGGGCTGAGGGGAGGTCCGCCCTTCTCAGCGCCCCCCCTGCTCGCAGCCGTGGAGGGGCCCCACCTGGGGCTTCCCTGGGAGGGCCAGGCTGGCAGCCGGGGCAGCGGCCCACGCGCCCGAGCTCCCACGGGGCTTCTGCCCTGCCAGCCAGGCTCAGTCCCCTCACCAGGTGCTTGAGGGAGGCCTTAAAGGGGCCAACTGCTCAGGTGGGCCAGGGCGGGGGGGCGGGTGGTTTGAAGGAAGAGACAGTCAGCGGGAGAGAACAGAAGAAGGAAGCCAACAGCCACTGCAAAGTGATAACTAATATCCTCAGACCTTCAAGAATTAAAAAAAAATTTTTTTGTGGTAATCTTTACTCAGGTACCAAATTTTATTTAAAAGCAAACTGCTCATTCAAAAGTAATCATGGAACAATCCAAAATGCAGAGGAAGGATGAGAAACATCTCACTGGCCAACAGATTACTTCTCTCACCTCCTTGGCAAGAGGAAAGGACCTATTTTAAATTAGAGCAGAGGTGAGATTGAAGAAGAGAAAAACAGTGCTTGAGAGCACATCTTTGTGCTAGGCAAGACTTTTGAAAAAAGATTCGTCTATGTGTAGAAGAACTGGGGTGCAGGCCAGAGGTGCGAGGGGTGAAGTGAGAGGACTCCCCAGAGACAGAGTGGGGAGCAGAACAGGTAGTCTACTGAAGGCCACTGCTGAGGGGGCAGCGAGGGGTCTGCTGCATCCTGGGGTCCCTCCCTGGCCCTCAGGCTGGTGACACCCTGAGACTCAACCCCGAGACCGCCAGGGAGGCCCCAGGCAAACATTTCTTAGAACACCAAAGGCAAATCCACTTGATAAAATCAAAAGGCGCTGGCAAGGAAATGAAAGGACAAGCTGCAGACTCCGGAAATATTTGAAAATAAAAGCCAGCAGCCCAGGATGGCCATGGGCAGTCGCAGCCGACGCAGCACGGCCGCAGCTCCACACCGACAAGGAAACGCGGACCCCCGGGCGGTGCGGCCCCTGCACCACTAGAAGGGGAAGGGGAAGACTCCAGGCGGGCGCCGAGGGCAGGGCCACGGGCAGCGAAGACTTAAAGTCTCACCGTCGACCCAGCATCCCAGTCCCAGGCATTTACCCAGGAAATAGTGTCCACACAATGACAGGCGGGACGTGGGCTGCAGATTATTCACGATCACCACCGGCGCATCTCTGACTAGCTCCCCCGGTGCAGCCACGCGGGGTGCCTGCCGCCCGCGAGCCCGAAGAAGCCGCCTGCTCACAGAGTCTCGCGAGCCTCGCTGCAGACGCCGACGGAGGGCGCCAGTGCGGACCACGCGGGCCTACTCCACGGACAGGACATCCCGGGAAAGGCAGAACTTTCAGAGACAGACGGGCAATTAATGGAACAGACTAACGGGCACACAGAAATCTGGAGGCTTCTATCAGGACCATGACCACTCTACACTTGCCAAAACTCATAGAACTAAACACTGAAAAGTGAATTTGGGGGGCCTCCCTACTGGCCTAGTGGTCAGGTCTCAGCACTACCACTGCTGCAGCCTGAGGTCGATCCTGACCAGGGAGGGACCCCAGGGCGCAGCAGACCTCTCTCGTTTCCCCTGCTCCCCTCAGCAGTGGATTCCAGTAGATCCACCCGTTCTGCCCCCCACTCTGTCTCTGGTGACTCCTCTCAGCCCCTGCACCCCTGGCCTGTACCCCAGTTCTATGCATAAATAAATACATCCTTAAAAAAAGGCAAAACCACGACAACTGTTAGGCTCGGCGTGAACAATCGGCGTTCACAGCACGTCACTGAGGCGTGACTTAGCCGAATCTCTCTGCAGCTGTGCTGCGATCAAACAGGAGGGCGCAGAGACGTGAGGGCACCGGGCAAGACCACGCTCCGGCCGGCCCGCAGCAGTTGCTGGTTAAAGTCTTCAGCACTAAGTCCGCAGGGAGGAGAGCTCGGACCGCAGCAGGGACGGCGACCAGCTGGTCTGGTCGTGTTTCTCACAGTCCACCAAGAGCTGTTAACCTTTCCGCCCTTTCGCCTCCCGTGGGGATCTGGGTAGAGCTCTGCAGCTTTTAGACAGGCTCCTCCCCTTGCTTCCAAGGGCAATTTTCCAGTCATTCCAGCCCCGCCCAATCTCTCAGGCCCATCTGGGAGGCAAAGTGCCGTCTCTGCCCTCTTCAGCTCTGTCACCGTCTGTTCCTAGATGTCTGGAGGGGTCGGAGCAGCCCACCCGTGAAAGGGAAGGGTTGGACGGGCCGTCCTCTTTCCTCAGGCCAGCAGCCAGCGCACGCACGGCTCCCTTCCTCACAGACGCCTCTGCGCCCCTGCTCAGTTCAATGACCCCTCCTCGGGTCCTCAGCAGTCTCCCCGAACTCTAGTTCCCTGTGGAAGTGGCCTAAGGAGCAAACTAGCGTGCATGCCCCAACTGTTTCCTTCGAGACTGCCCCAGGGGCTTTCCCTTCTCAGCCAGTCATCATGTCTCCCCACAAAAGGGCTCCCCAGCCTAGGATCTGCACCCCAAGCAACACAAAGAAACAGACAGAATAGAAACAAATTTGATCCCAGATAAAATTCTTAAGCAAAGCGTCACCCCCGACCAACAGTACTCTCATGCAGGAGGGAGACACCAGACATTCTACACACACACACACACACACACACACATGCACACACGCACGCACACACCCCTCCACCCCTCTACCTATGTCCAGGACAGTCTGCTGGGCAGGCCAATTTCAGGGTTAATCTCTTGCTTTCACTCAGGGGAGTTCTTTGACTCAATTTCCTCCAGTCCATTCTTCATGGAAACCAAAGCCGCTCTCTGAGTCTCCTTCCAGGGTGCCTGTCCACCCGCCCAAGGTGTCCCCAAGGTGTCCCCAAGGCATCGCACCGGGGCTGTGAGCCCCTGGGGCGGCCAGGGCGGGTGAGGGGAGGGCCGAGGGCCGCCTCCTCCAGCGTCACGCCCACTTGGAGAAGGGTCCCCTTAGGCAGACTCACCTTGGGCTCCCCCTGGGCTGCAAAGCGGGTGCGCAGGACGTCCACGGGGTGCACGGCGAGGGTGGCCGCGCAGGCAGACAGGCCTCCGCAGACAAAGTGCACCGAGAACTGGCGGGCGCCGCCTGTGTGTGCCCGGTGCGCCAGCTCCGTCAGCAGCTCGAACGACAGAAACTGCAAGAGCGAAGGCCAACGTCACCGGCCCCGGAACACACCACCGCCAGCCGGACCCAGGCCCAGGGCAGGAGAGCGGCCCCTGGGCGGCGCCAGAAGACATGGTAAACTTCGTTTTTGTGCAAAACTCAGAGGCCGTTTTACGCTGGGCTGACACCCACGCACGCAGGTTAGGGAACAGGAGAGAAAGTTCGTATCGGAGAAGTCTGCTCCTGTGATGGGGTCTCCGTAGCAGCGGGACAAGTCGCTGCTTTGGAAGCATGTGCCACTTGGTGAGGGTCACCCCCTTACACAGAGCCGCTCCTGGCCTGCTCACTGACATAGCCAGGCAGCGGCATCCCGAGCGTGGGGGAAGGCAGGAAGGGCCTGCCCCCCTGAGCACCCACCTGCGCCAGCCCCACGGTGGTGAGGGCCAGGAGGCTGACCCCCCGGGAGACCTGCCCCTGCCCCTTTCTGGCCAATGATCAGCTGGGTTTATGCTGGCTCCGTCCGCCGCAAGCTCATCCGTCAAGCAGGAATGGCCACAACCCACCGACCTCTGGGACTGTGGTCAGGTGACGTGACGGTGCCCCGGACAGGACCTGGTCGAGATGGGCATCGCCACCCCACACAGGGCAGCCGGTCCTGCCGCCAAGGAGACACGCTGGTGCTCAGCAACACCAAGCCAGGGTCCCCACCCCAGATCCCCCACTACTGCTGCTGTGTGGCTCCGGCACATCGCTTACCCTCTCTGGGACCCGCTAAAGTCCCGCTCGACCTCCCTCGCAGTGCTGGGGCGAATCCGCGGAAGCACAGATGTGAAAATTCTACTTGGAAAGGCCTTAGTCTCCAGGTGCAACCCCAAAAATGCAGTGGGTGCTAAACCCCAGGGTGGGAGTCATAGGGAGACGTATGGCCCGGCTCAGGGCAACAGGGGCAGGTGTGGTGTGCTGGCTGCCGCCTGCTGCCCTGCCCTCGGCATGCCGCCCTGCCCGTGCTTCCCTGTGGCGCAGCCCCTGACCCAGGGGCCAGGCCGGGTCCCCTGCTACCTACTTGGACAGCCCCGTAGCCGACGGAGAGAAGCTGGGCCGGCACGTGGCCTTTCCAGAACGCCGCTGGGCCCTCCTCCCGCAAAATCTGCCTGCAGGCCTGCAGGATCCCATGGTACTTGGCACTAGGGTCACTCTGAGACAGGCGCTCGATCTGAAGCTGGGAACCGGGAGGGACAAGGTCAAAGCAATTCTGGGGGTGGGGGATGGGTGGGCAGCCAGGAGAAACCTCAGCCAAGGAAATCAAGGCACCAAGTGCTTCTTTCCTGACAAACCCCAAGTTCTAGAAACTGCTTTGGCAAGCATGAACGTGTCCGCCAGCCAGTAACACAGAAAAGAGGGGAAAGGTACCTGGAAGCGGATCTTGATGACGTCCAAGGGGCTGATCAGGGCCCGCGTGACGAGTCCAGATACAGATCCTGCCGCCACCACCTCAAGACTCGAGATGTTCCTGCCATCTGCTTTGGGGTCATAGCCGACCATCCCTGCCTCTGGCCTACACAATGTCCATCAGCTTCCAGCTAAATGCAGGAGAGAGGCAGGAAACAGCAGAGCAAGTTCTCAGGGTTCAGGCCAGGTCAGGCTCATCTCTCACCACTCAGGGCAACCCTGCAGGACCAGCCCATGTTCCTTGCGCCCCCCCCCCCGAATTGCCTTCTCCTAGACATTTATGCCACCACCTACTTCCTGTCTGTCTACCCACTCGAAAACAATTCAGGAGAACATGGAGGGGTCTCCATCGCCATCCTGGAGCCCAGGCCTGGAGCCTAGCCCATGAGACAAAGTGCTCACAGTATTTGTTGACTGAATCAATGAACGGGCCAGCAACGGCTGGCTTTCCGGCAAACTCCTGGCTGCATGAGGAGGAGGCCAGAGCCCACTGGCACCAAGCACCCACCCACTGCAACCCCGTGGCATGGTGCTCCCAGGCACCCCTGATCCGGCTGCTGACGATTCACCCTCAGGCTGGATCCCTCCTCCCCCCACATAGCCAGGCCATTCCCAGCACCCCACCACTTCCCCGAGCACTGTCTGCCCAACTCACCTCTACTCCCCCTGCTCCTGTGTGACAGCTGACTACAGCCCGCTTGCTCTTCCACGGCCAGGTGCTCTCCTGGGGCTCAGCTAAGGAGCACCCCCTCCAGACGCAGTCCACACACACATTCAGTCAACATTCATACAACATTCAGTCACACAGCCGGTATGACACTGGCCCCCAAATTCCTACTGCCTGACACCCAGCCGCTGTAAGTAACATGGTCGCTCGGCTTGGGCAGCCGCACATATCTCATCTCCTGACAGGGTCACTCCCTGAGCCTGACAGCCCCGTGACTGGACAAACCGCACGGTGCATGGTGGGGAGCCAGTACCCAGTGCGCAGGGCACCTCTCCCCCTGGCCTCAGGAATCTGACGTCCCCTCTCGTGCACACTGCACTGAACAGGTCCTCTCTGCCCAGAGGAGGTGGGCTCCCAGGACAGGGGCTGCAGCATAGGGCCTGGCACCCCTCGGGCTCTAGCGAGGAATAAATGATGAAAAGCCGGAGCTTTCACAGAAGCAACAATGACCCTGCAGAAGGGGACAAGCCAGCGCTCAACACTGCCCTGCAGCCCATTTGGCTTTTAAAATGCAAAAGTCCTAAGAGCCCTTCCCGACTCCAGGCGCTTCCTCAGGCGATTCTCCAAGGCCAACAATATTATGCTGAGCAGCTGTGTCATCCTTGATGGGCACATTTTTAAATGGACATTTGCTCAAAAAAGCTGAGTTAGATATTTGCTGAAAACGAGCACCCAACCTCAGCACTCCTGACATGTTAGAAGGGATGATTCTTCCTGGTTGGGGACTGCCCTGGGCCTCAGAGGGTATTGAGCAGCGAGAGACCTTGGCCTCTACCATGGAGAACAGGCCACCACGCTCCCCTGGGGACAATCAAAACTGTTGCCAAACCTTGACAATGTCTCTTGGGGGGCAAAATGGAGCCACCGATCTAGAGAAATATTGGGTTGTTGAAAAATCATGAAGGATTTTTGCTTGAAAAACTGAAAAAATATGTCATGACTTTCCCGACAACCCAATACTTAGACTGGGCTGTAAATGTTGTGTGTTACATCACTGTTTAAACTGAAATGCTCTGAACAGAGGGATGGGGACATTCTCCAAGCCACGTGGATGCATGCATGGACCGCTATGTGGCTGTTTAAAAAATGAGCCCAACCGGGCCTCCCTGGTGGCACAGGGGTTAAAGTCTCAGCACTATGAAGCTGCTGCGGCCAGCCACTACAGCGCAAGTTCCAGCAGACCTCTCCTGTCTCCCAGCTGCGCCCCTCAGCAGTGTACTTCAGTGGATCTGCCTGTTCTGCTCCCCACGCTGCCTCTGGTGAGTCCTCTCATCACCCCTGCACTCTGTACCCCAGTTCTGTATGCATAAATAAATAAATCTTTTTTAAAAAAGTCTAAAGGTAGGAAAACTGATCCTCACCAAGGTGCCCATTTCTTGCCAAACCCTCCAAGGAGGGGCGCCTGTGAGCAGGTGAGCTAGGGGCATCCCTGATGGAGGCCCCTGATTGAGAGAAGGGTCTCCAGAGGTTACCCAGGGACTGCTCAGCTCCTGCCCCATGTGGGAGGGAAAGGGGTCCCATAAAAGCAGTTCTGCACAGCTGCATGTAACCTCGGCCCACAGGTTAAGAGCCGGGTTCAAGCTCTGCCTCCTGTGTACCTGGGGCAGCTTCATTTCACCTGGGCTCAGCCTCTCTTCTGGAAAGTGGGCACGATGTCTGTCCTGCCTAATCCAGACTCCTGGAAAGATCATGCATGATACCATTTGCAGAAAAAGACAAGTTTTACAGGCGTGAAAGGGCTTGTTAAATACAATTCCCCAGTGGCCTTACCTTTTCTGCTCCTTCACAATTCCCTTAATGGACTGACGAGCCCTGATAATAATCTAAAGAGACAAAATCGAAATGCGATTATAAGCCCGCGGAAGACAGCCGCTGCAGGCGAGGGTGAGTCTGCTTCGCCCCTCTCTTCTTTCTGGCAAAACCTCGTGGCGCCGGTGCCCCCCGGTGAGTGTGAGCCCCCAGAGCCCCCGCGTTCCGCGGAGGGGTCTCTGCAGAGGCCCCCGCGTGTGGTCACAGGCGTGCCTCCAGGTGTCACGCCCGGGGCGACGCCCGCGGGGCGGGCACCCGCGGGCACAGGTGCCCGGCTCTGAGCAGGCTTTGCCTCCAGCGTCCCTGAAGATGCTTCTCAGGGCGGGCGAGACACGTGTGCGGACAGTGCCCGCCCACGCGAGGGTACGGCGCGCGCGCCCCCCGGGGAGCCGGGTGCGGGTCTCCGAGCGCACCGCTCGGGGCGTGGAGCTGGAGGTCACTCACCGGCTCCGAGGGCGCCGCCCGGCCCGGGGCGCTCTCCTCTACCTCTCTTCTCACCCAGTCCTCACAGCGAAACTACCCGGCGCTCGGCAGGAACTGACGGACGCCTGAGCCAATCACCGCGCAGCTTCCGTTAGCGGCTGAGTCAATGGTTGTATAGGCCACACCCAGCGACCGCCTCCCGCAGGGATCTGTGGGTAGTGTAGTCCTCGGCTGTCAAGGCCCCCCGGCCTCCCCCGCTCCCGCGAGGCGCAAAGGCTCCCGGGAGTTGTAGTCCTGCGGGCGCGCACTGGCGGCCGCTGCAGTCCGGGCTGACTGCGCCCCTGGAGGCGGAGGGTGCTGTCTGTGCGGCGCGCGGCCGCCGCGGTGGAAGTCGCGGCTTGCGGGACCTCAAAACCTCGGTGGTCCCAGAATCCGGATAGTCGCACCCTGGAGTAGACGGCGGAAGCCTAGCCAGCACCTGAGGACGTTTAGGAGCGTGGGCATGGGCTTTTAAGACCTGGGCGAGGACGGCCGGAATCAGGAGCTGCGCCCCCACCCTCGGCCTGACTGGGCCCCCATTTCCATGACAAGAGTCTTTAGGAAGGGAGGGCTCACGCCGGGGTGGAGGCAAGGATGGAAACCGCTCTTCCCTCCCCGCTCACCGCTGTAGCACCCGCGGAGTTTCTCCCCGACTTTGAAATTTGTAACATTTTTTATCTCGCTATTTGGAGACATTGCAGACACGCAGAAGTGGAAGGCGGGAGAACCCCGTACTTATGCCAGCTTCGACAGAGTCGGCCTGGGCCACTCTCCGTAGGCACCGACCTCCCCCCAAACTCCCGTTATTTTATCTTTAAAAGACAAGCAGTTCCGTCTCAACATACACCCCCAAAATGAACAATTTGTCATATACCGAATTAAGGTTCACCCTTCCCTGATTCACCTATAAAGGGTCTTTTTTACAAAAACAACTGAGTGGGGGGTCCAGATCACCCCTGCAACTGGGTAAAAGTTTAAACTGTCCACTTTTTTAACCCGAGCGCCCACTTCCTCTTTTCTTGCAGCTGCTTCCCTTCCCTCTCTTTCCCTCCCTTCTTACTGGTCTGCCCCTCCACTTCCCAGTCTGGGCCTGCATGCGGCAGGCAGCCCTGTGCCCGGTGTCTCTCTGCCCCTCGGTCCCTCCTGCGTATTGGTGGTTGATCTGAGTGGCCCGGCCACGGCAGGAATGGCCCGGCCACGGCAGGTATGGTGCATAGATAGGCCCAGTGGCCCTCCACCGGGTCCTCATCATGTTATTTCTCATGCTGCGATGGTTGCAGCACTGATGACCGCGTGACCAGGGCTTGTGACCAGGAGCCTCTCTTCATCCTCTCTCAGCAGGAATTCACTGGAGGAACAGCCTTTCCCACAGCCTTCCTGGTGGTGCATCTGGTTTCAGCTCAGCATGGCGAAGCTGTCCGCAGCTGCTGCAGCATGAGTCTGACCCCCCATCCCCACCCCCGCCAGGGAGGGACCCACAGGGCGCAGCAGACCCCTCCTGTCTCCCTGCTGTTCCCCTCAGCAGTGGGTTTCAGTCAATCTGCCTATTCTGCTCCCATTCTGTCTTTGGTGAGCCCCCACCCCCACACTTCTGACCTACACCCCAATTTTTAAATGCAAAAGTAAAATAAAGCCTAAGGTGGCCAGAACCTAGTATGGAAATTTGACTCCCTGCCCTTGAATCCCCTCTGTGCCCCAGAACCACCTCTGTGCTCTGCTTTCTTTCACTTCCTCTCTCCTCCTGTAGAGATTGCCTAATTTCCCCCACGAAACCCCAACTTTAGCATCGCGTCTGTGTCCAGTGGTTATGGCCTGTCTGCCTACTTTGTGCTCCCCGACAAGCCTCCCAAGGCTTGTGCAGGGGGTCAGCCAGGCAGGACTTGTGGCCACAGGCGAATTGTAGGGTGTAGATTCAGGGAACCACCGCTCAGGACTGGGAGACTCCTGGCATCATTTAGACCCGCCAGCTTCCAGCAGGGCAAGGCCATGGACCCAAGGTCCTTCAAGGTCAGACGACAAACGAGTGGAAGGTCAAGAGAGATGAGTTGTTGGCAGGTGCATCTTCCCGAGCGCACACCCCAGGGCCAGTGTTTGCATATTTGAAATCTGGCCACTTCATCTTAAGTTAAATATACTCAGTCAGTCAGATCATGTGAGAGAAGCCGGAAAGTAACGTTCCCGGCAGCCTGGGGAAGTGAATCCTCCTGTGACCTCATTGACATTTACCCTAAACACACCTACCTAACACACCCTTGGACTTTCCCCACCTCCTCTGCCTCCTTGGGGGAGTCAATACCTTGACCAGAGGGAGCTGGTATTTTCCAGCCACCAGAGCGGTGGTGATCTTTTCCAGCAGAGGCGAGAGTCGCGGGTGTCGGGGAGGCGTGGCCTCTGCAGATGCCCCTTCCTCCAGGCGGCTGCGGCTGTGTCTGTAAAGAGCCACCGCGCATGGGCCAGTGTCCAAGCCGTGCTGCCTCTGTGCCTCTGTTAGGCCCTTAACATTGCCGCTGGCCTGAGAAACCTGCATTTTTGGGCCTCCCCGCTGGCGCAAGGGGTTAGTCTCAGCACTATGAAGCTGTCGGCAGCCAGTGAGGCCTGAGTTCGACCCCCGGCCAGGGAGTGACCCATGTGGCGTGGCAGGACCTTCCTGTCTCCCCGCTGCTCCCCTCAGCAGTGCATTTCGGTCAACACATCTGTTCTGCTCCCCACTCTGTCCTTGGTGAATACTCTCACCCCCCCACAACTCTGGCTTACACCCCAGTTCTTGTGTGCATAAATAAGACTTTAAAAAAAGAAGCTGCATTTGCCCAAAGCACTCCAAGGTGTTCTCAGTTTCAGATGATAGAAGTATCATCTGGGATTTTATTTAAAAAGGCCTTTCCTGGGGCCCCCACCGATCCAGGAGGCCTGTGCCTGGCCTGGGGGCAGGCATTTGGCCAGGGACCCACATCTCAGCTGGCAGCCCGGCTGCCCTGCTCTGACAGCTCAGGAGAGGACCAGGCGCGGCTTTCACCCTTCACTCCCCCATCAAATATGCCCCAGGTTCTGCGGGCAGCGCTGGCAGGCCCTGGGGATACAGCCGGGAACACTGGGGTGTATCTTTCCTCTTGGAACTTTCTTCCCCTCAGGGGCCGGCAGCTAGGCTCCCCCAGCTCGCCTTCTGGGGCGCGGGGCCTCCCTGCTTCTAGCTGCCGGTGTGGTGTCTGGAGTCTCCCTGGGGTGGCGCTTCTGCCCTGGCCTTGAGGCAGCACCGCGCGGCGTGCGGGCGTTTCCATCGTTTCCATGGACTATCGTCATCATGTGAGAAGAAGCTATCCCCCCAGGAAGCCACAAAAAGCCAACGACTGCTAGCAGATGCTGCAGGAAGTCCTGGCGGGCTGCAGGGGCCGAGGAGAGAGGCACTTTTGATCCAGTTCCCTTTTAACTTTCACATTCACTCAGCAAACTACCCAGACACAGTGCCCTAAGCAAGAAGACAAGAAAGAAGATTCACCGCCCAGTAACTTTTAGCGGCTGATTTCTTATGCATGTGGGCTTTTTGCTGGTGCTAATCCCTGAGAGCCAAGTGTCAGGAGGCTCCCAGGCGGGCGCATGGGTATTAGCGTCCCGAGAAAGGGTTCTGAGTTTGTCGGAGGGGTCTCCCAGCTTGCAGCTTTCCGCATTCAGCCTTGGGTTCTCTTGTGAGCAGATCACTCACTTTTGTGGGTGACAACACCCAGCACCCATTTCTGAGCCTCCCAGTGCAGGTGTTTCCTGCTGTGGCTGTGGGGAGCCCCTCTGTACCTGCAGAAGCCTCGGGGCGCGGCTCTGCCGTGCAGGAGGGGCTGGCGTGCCCCGTGTCAGCCACAGGCAACAGCTTCCTCCCCCTTGACTTCTGGCCAGTAGGCTCTGGATGGCCAGAAGGGTGACCACTGCTGGGAGCCGCAAATCTGGATGTCAAGTTGACAATATGGTGGTGAAGGCCCGAGAAACACATGAGGCAAGAGGTCTGAATAGACACCACGCAGAAAGCTGCGCCGGCACTGAGCGGCAGGGAGGTGGCAAAGGCTGCACCCACTGAGGCTGTGAGAGGCCAACGTGTCCACCAGCACAGAGGAGAGAGGGCAAAAGGACGCCAAGTGTTAGCCAGGCGGGGGCGGCCGGACCCCTGCATGTGGGTGTGGGTGCTGTGGACAAGGGGCTCCGAGTCTTCCTGGGGGAAACACCCCAGACCTGGGTGTGAGTCCCAGAGAAGGACATGGCGACCAGAGGCCTGTGGGCGCCTCCTCACAGTGTGCCCAGAGTGGGGCGCTGTCCAGAGACAGAGGGACAGAAGCGCCGAGACGCCCAGAACACGACACCTCAGCACACTCCGGCCGCCAGGCCTCTGAGAGCCGTGTGAGGACCCCAGTGCTGGGAATGAAGGAGACAAACCAGGCCCAGGGGAAACCTCTGACCCAGGAGGGCGAGTCCGTCGCCTGCCCGCGCCCGGGCCTCGCCTGCCCGAGAAGACGGGGCCCTGGCGTGTTGCGTGGCTCCTTCTACACTGGCTGTCACAGCACACAGCACACTTTCTGTGGGCGACTCGCAAGGCGCCGCTGGCTGGCGGGCTGGCGCTCCATCCCAGGGGCGCCGCGCGGGGCCTCCCTGGGCCTCGTGTCGCCAGGGCCCTCCTGGCCGAAACCCCCACCCACTTCCCGTCTGGTTTACTGCGTGGCGCACGGAGAAGCCAGCGTGACTGCCCTGGCTCTGCAGTGCTCGGGCCGCCTGAGGCTGCCACGCACCGAGACGGCCGGTGGCATCTACACCGCCTGGAGCTTTTTTTTTATTTTTTAAGATTTATTTATCTATGCATACAAGAACTGGGGTGCAGGCCAGGTGCGGGGTTAAGAGGATTCACCAGAGACAGAGTGGGGAGCAGAAGGGGCGGATCGACTGAAAGCCACTGCTGAGGGGAGCAGCGGGGAGACAGGCGAGGTCTGCTGCGCCCTGGGGGTCCCTCCCTGGCCGGGATCACACTCAGACCGAGGAAGTGACAGCGCTGAGATTGCATCCCTAGGCCACCAGGGGGTCCCCACATCTCCTCCTGATGGACTC